GCAATATTTCAAGTACTGAAACCCCAAAAGTTTCCATTTTTTTTTTTTTTTTTTTTTTTTTTTTGTCTTTTTCCGTGTCTGGCAACGGTTTACAACCCTCAGTGCTGCCCCCGTACCAGACCGGGACCGGCAACGGGATCGCAACCCTCGGTGTTGCCCCCGCGCCTCGCTCAGCCAGTGAGCAGGAACCAGTCTGTATGTGGGATCCGAACCCTCGACAGGAGCGCCGCCGCGCTTCCCAAGCGGCGCACTAGCGCAGTGCGCCACCGGGCGGGCCCCCAAAAGTTACCATTTCTTTAATTTCCTATTTTTTACAATTGAAAATGACATTGTTAGAATGACAAAAGTTTTTGTGTTACTTTATTTTATTATTGTTTAATCATATATTCTGTTTTTATAGTTTTACTAGAGATTTCAAATTAACAGTAAAAAAAATTCATTCCCAAGTTGAATTACTCATGTTATCTCCTTTTGTGTTGTTCTAACTTCATACTAGATAATTTCTCTTAATCACTGAGCTTTTAATATTGCTACAAATTATATTCAAACTTTATTAGATTTTTCAGTGTATATGATGTGAAGAACAATTTAAACTCTCATGAGTATTTCGAACTTTGTTTCATTGTTTAGTTTGGGGTCAGCCACGTAGACTTTAATATATTTGTATATTCCTTCCTCCAGGTCACTGAAAACTGTGCTGTAGAAGAAAAATGACTAAACTGGACATATTAACCTTGAAAAAAATACTTAAATTATATAAAACTCAGGTCCCTCACCTCCAGAATCATCAGCAGTTGAAATGATTTTCTTGATAAAAATTTTTACTTGAAGAGGATAAAGACAGTACTTGACTATGACAAGTTTTAGTGGGGACATTTATAATTAGAAAAATTAATCAAGATTTTTAAATTTAATTAATTTGAAAAGAAAACTTTTTAAAGGTTTTTTTTTTTTTTTTTTTTTTTTTTTTTTTTTAAATCTGGCTGTATTTCTTAATTTGGGATGATCTGAAAGGATTACAACATTTCCCCAGCCTCTGTATTGGAAGATTCAAAATAATTAATGTTTGTGAAAGTACTTTGTAAAATGTAAAGTTCTACATAAATATAAAATTTCCTACACCCTAAGACACCTGTGGACTAGCAGGCGTGTTACCATCCTCGGACATCAATTCACACATTTTATAACACACCTTGAAGCAATTGGAAATGCCTAGTATACCTGTCTCACAACTAAATTGTCCATAAATCTTTGATCACCATTCTATGACTATCAACCTTTATGGCAGGTAACAGCTGGGAGCTTTTTTCTCAGATTTATGTATAAATTGTGCAGTCAAAATTATGGAAGAAAACCATGTCTTTGATTTCTCAGAAAGATCCATTATCCTATCGTTTAGTAAGGTAGCTTACAAACTGTTCATATTAACCCATAGAAAACTATACTGATTATCTCATACCTTAAATTTATAATATAAAGCCACCGAATTATCATGCAATATATAAATTATTCACTGGCATAAAAGAAAAGATTAAGTGAAAAAAAGTTGGGACTTTCCATGGACTGCAACAACTACCGATCTACATTAACTATTTTTCTTTGCATCAAGGAATAATTGCTAGGAAAAATTGTTTCCATGTTTCTCTGTGGATGAAAAGGTCTCTTTATAACAGCAGGATACTTGTCCAAAGAGCTTTATTGTTTTTTTCAAAGTGAGCATTAGATATCACTTGCTGAAAAACTAAACAAAAGCTGTGTAGAAAGGTCCTAAATATGCACAGTATATTGCATTACATAACTTTTTATGGACAATACAATGTCAAAGAAGAGCTGAATAATATTATTCTATCCCCATCAAGAGAATTGAGGTATATTCTCCTTAATTTCTCATACCGATTATTTTACCCACATTCTTGCTCATTTGGAAAAATACTTTCAGCCAAAACTGATTCTAATATTTTTTATTCATGTATCAATACACACGAAATAATATTTTATTCATTTTTACAACACTCGTCTAAGGACACAAAATACAAAAACATAAATCAGAAACCAATAGATTATAAGACCTACACTGGAGCAGTAAATTTAAAAGATGGAGAGCAAATCATAAAAGTGTGCTCATTATGAAGCTACATAGGAGCAGGAAAACCAGAAGAAAGGAGTGAGAAAGATGCTTTGTGATAAGGAAACAATGAGTATTTCTTGGAGTTAGCAATTGACAAGTATTGGAGAACTGATATAAATCAGTGGTGGAAGAAAAAATCATTTTAAGCAAGAGAAATGAATAAATAAAAATATAGTGATGAGAACTAGCAAAGTAGATAGTGGTATCTGTCAAGGTATTATCCTGTCAAAAACAGAGCATTAGAAAAATTAGATGAACATTTTCCAAAAGTGACTTGATAGAGCTTTGAAAGCCAGTCTTGGAAAATTCTATGTGGCAGAAAAAAAGTATTATCCCAGACTCCATAGCATGGAACCAGTATCTTGCAAACTACATAAGAAAAAAAAAATCTTCTGTTGGTTAGATTAGAGAGGGAAGAAATTAGAATACTGGGGTACTACACACAAAACAGATAAGGATCGGGATTTAGATTGTGGCTTTGAAAATGAAAGTACAATGGCAAACATAGGAGAAGGAAGAGAAATTGGTGACATAAAGTGTAGAAAATGAGAATGATAACTGGGTTAATAGTATTTCCAAGTTGCATACACCATGAAGGAGGAGTCCAGTGAGACATCCTGTGTCACAATATAAAACATTATATTATATATATTATAATAAGTTATATTTTTTATATATTTATACATAAAAACATGATATTGACCATATACATTTCTCACCTGGTAGTGTTAAAGAGTCCAAATATCACTGGGTTCTTATGATCTCTGGTATGTAGCAAAAAAACATCCTCTGAAAAATTAAAGACCATTCCATCACTTAGTATTTTTAGCTCTCTTTGTATGCTAGGAAAATGCATTCACATAAAATAGTTTAGAATCCAATACAGATTTTAAGATATACATTTCTATATATAGTCACACAACCATGACCACATCATAATGGAGTGAATCATTTGGCTGCTCTGGGGTGGCTTTGAAATGAACCACAAGGAAGGAACCAGAGACACTGACTCTAAGTTTTCATTAATAAAACAAGTCTCTTTTGGTTCCTGCAACTCCTTTGCCCCTGCCATACGGGTCTGGCCAAAGTAAAAAGAACCTTGCAGTGTGTTAGAGAGCAAAAATGCAGAAAATAAGTTTTCCATGTGTGCTAGAGATAGAGCTATAGAGAGGCATATACATCAAAGGGTTAAGTGTTTCACCTATTAATATTTACCTAATTCATCAAAATATGTATCAATTCCATTCATTCCTGGTACTGAGCAAACCAGTCTAGCTTTTAGGAAGGTACTCCACTTATTCACTAGTATTCTCTGTCCTCCCACATCGTTCTGTGAAAACAAAAAGTAGGTAAACGGGTACTCAAAGAAATTTTGCAAACAACAATTTTGTACTATTAAACGTGCAGATGCCAAGAGGTCTGCCTTTTTCATTTAACCAGGAACATTTTTCATATTCCCCAAATAATATTATAGATGCAATTACCTCCAACTTTTTTTCTTTTTTAGGTTTATGCATTCTACTTTTCATTGTACTTTCACTCTGGTGAATTAAATATATTTTTCAGGTATTAAATGATATTAATAGAGTGGTAACTCATAAATGAAGTAGTGGTTTTTATGATCTAGATACCTTGATGGTTATTTTATTGACAAGTAATTTGACTATCTCAGGCATAAGGAAGCATCCTTTTCTCTATCTTCCTGTAGTAAAGAAAGCTTTAAATACAGAGTCACACATACATACCCATATGAAATACAATGGTACTTCAAAAAGTTCATGGAAAAATAGAATTAAAAAGATAATATGAATCTTTCTACGAACTTGTTAAAGGCCCCTCCTAGGTACGTTGTATGAGCATGTTGCTACTTCAATTGGTTTTGAATGTTTCCAAATAACCTATCTGAATACTCAACAAACTACAGATGGTTTCTCTATAGAATCAACCAACTAAGATGTTGAAGTATAGTTATGTATATTATCTATACTATGAACTAAAAAAGCAAAAAGGATTTTTGTTAAATTTATTAAAATAAATAAAGCTCACGCTTCTGTGTAGGAAAAGGTACGGCCTAATTATAGAAAATTTCTTCTTAGTAGGGTTTTGAAAATGGGGACCATCATACAAAATACAAGGCTCTTTTAAGATAAAACTTTCATAGACATGAAGTATAAGCAGCCTACAGAATACTAGAAAATCTTTTAAAGTAGAAATCTACTACAAAATTAACAAAGGCTTGGCTATAAATTGTGAGACAAGAAAGCCTATGAGAGAAAAAGAAAAAAATGTCATCCTCACCACACAAAGTCGCCCCACTCTGGTGTAAATTGCATGGGCATTGTTTTCTGCCTCCAGGGCCTTTTCAGTAAAAAAGAAATACACTTTGTTGTCATCTTGGTCTTCATTGTCAGGAATCATATATGAACCTACAAATTTTGGTTCTAAAGGAGTAAAAATAGAAGAAAAAGTGAAATAGATACTGAAACAAAATAAGTGATCTTATAAATTAGGTATCACAGAGTTTTTAAAATGTGAAAGGAATATTTACTAGGAAAATAAAACAGTAAGAGAGAGAAAAAACAATTTTAAACAGCACGCATTGCAAACTTAAAATGCATTTGAAGATGGACAGATTGTATATAAAAAGTGAATGTAAATATAAAGAATATATGAAAGTAAAGAAGTCTACCATTACTTAAATTTTTAGTTTATAAATCATCTACCAGTATAGCTCATGGAAGACCACTGTAGATTTAAAGTGAAAAATTTAAGCTTTTGAGTCTCTAGTCTAAGGGGCTTGAATAAGTGACCTTTGATGTGATATGTAAAATATTTTAATGATAGCATGCCATCGATAATGACTGTGCCTTTTAAAGATTAATAAAAAACACTAACAATAATGGAAATGCTTACCATAAAACAATATCTTTGCCCTAGATATACCAATGGGTCAAAACATAAAAATTATCCCTTAAAAAGATTTCTGTATTGAATGGCTAGTGACTTTCCTAGAGTGTTATTTGTCTCTAAAGTGCAATGTGATCCTATTAAAACAAGCAAAGCAATCAATTAATCAGAAATTAAACCAATTGACAAGAATAGACAAAACATCTTTTTGGATAATGGGTTTTCACTTTTTATACATTTGCTTCATTTTTTAAAATTTAAGTCCTGATTTCTAAGCCTTGCTATGAAGGGAAATTGGTTTTATAAGTAAGCCAATATATTTTTACATAAAATACCCATATTATATATATTTTAATTCAAAAATATTGCCAGTAAAAAAATCCTGAAATTTGTAAAAAAGTATAAATTATTATCTGTATTGTTATTATTATCAAAATGGCACAACTTCTCATAAATTCTAGACTTGGCTTTAACCCTGATGTCCACACTCCTTGCTCCTCAGGCCTACCCTTCAACAGGCGCTCATCGTCGTGCTCAGTGCGAATATGGGCCAGTCGCCCCATGCTCCGGAAGATGGCGGCATCTCTGCCCCAGTAGTCACTGTAGAGTCCTGCAAACAATTCACTACCTGCATGGAAGCATCAGTGAAAAATGAGTCAGTATTTGTTTCTGGATCTGAAGACAAGGTATCAACCTCAGTTCCATCAGACGCAGTCAGGTGTAATACGTGTATGCATGATATGTGCCTTTCAACATCAATACTATTGTTGTTAAGGGCATGAATGGTGCAGTCAGATGTCAGAGTTTGAATCCTGACTCTGCCACTTATTTACTGTGTGAACTTGGGCAAGTTGCCAACCTCTCTGTGCCTCAGTTTCTTCATTTACAAATGAGAAAAGGAATAGTGCTTTATAGGGCTGTTCAGAGTAAAGCACTTAGAAGAGTAGCTGGTAAATAGTAAGACCTATACCAGGGTGCTTCAAAACATTCATGGAAAGATTCCACTAATTCTATTTTTCCATGAAGTTTCTGAAGTACCTTCATATAGTTACTTATGTCTTATTTAACTGAGTTTCTTTTAACCTTCATATCATCAAAGCCTTATTATTATTATTGTTATTTTATGGCAGATATTATATATACATGTATTTGTGTCAGCTACTTAAAACCATTCTTGTAACAAGAAATTGGTGTGATTAATATGATCTTAAAACCATTCTTGTAACAAGAAATTGGTGTGATTAGTATGGTTCTCTCTGGGAACCACAAAGTCTGATAAAAATGTAAATAATCCAGTCAGTTGATTAATTTTTCTATCTTTTCTATCTGAATGATCCACAAAATTTACAACTTTACAATTTTACAAATTTTACAAACTTTGTGGCTCAGTTAGAAAAGATATAAAAAGGGCTCATTTTTTATTTTTATTTTTTTGGCTCAAACAACAAGTATTTATTTCTCATAATTGTGGCATTTGGAAGTCTCAGATCAGGGTGCCAGAAGGGTCAGGTTCTTGGCGAGGGCCCTATTCCTGTTTTACAGACAGTTGTCTTCTTGCTGTCTTGACATAGCAGAAAGAGAACTAGCTAGCTCTTGTGTCACATCTCCTCTTAGAGCCCATTCCTGAGGGCTCTACCCTTCTGACTTAATTACCTCTCAAAGGCCTCTGCTCGAAATATCACCACATGAGGACTAGGGTTTCAACATGTGATTTTGTGGGGACACTAACTTTCAGCCTATTGCTATTTCTAAACCTTCTTTTGTAGCCTATAAGGGTAGAATGGCTCATTCTGATCTTTGCGAGAAGCCAGGGCTTATTAGATTGACTATTAGATTGAGGAATCCATTTCAGGTCTAAAAAGGATTTATTACTGGAAAGGCTAGAGGTTCAAAAGGTCTGGTGAGGGGAGTCAGTGGTTTGGTAATAAGGTAGAATATCTGTATTGGTTGTGTTAGGGTCCTTTGATTGTAAGCAACAGAGACAGATTTCTTCTTAAATTATGTTTGAGAGAGAGAGAGAATATTAGAAGAATGGTCAGTTGCTTCCAAAATTGAAAAAATGCATAAAGGTGCCAAACAGATTCAAGAGGGGCACGAGCCAGGGCACCTCTGGGAATAGAGGTAATAGGCACTGATTGATGGTCTTGTGAGGTACAGCCATAGGTTAAATTGGCTTAAACTTTTTTTTCCCCTCCCCTGTCTGCTAATGGTTCCAAGTTCCAGGAAAGAGTCCTGTTGGAAGATCACAACTGATAGCCCCACCAACAGACATAATTGGAAAGTAGTCTGAGAACATCAAACCAGTTATCCCTTTTCTCCTTCCAGCTGAATAAAATGCAGTTGTTTTCCATTCTATACTCCCCTCCACCATACCAGCACTGGCCAGCTCTAGAAGATTCCTTCCCACCAGTCCCCAGAAGAGCAACACCTTCCTATATCTGTGCTTAACCCATGAAGTTTTCCCTCCCACTCACTCCGCCTCTACCTGCAGACCTTGATGATGCCTAATTCTTGACTTTCACAACAGTTAAAAGAATGTATGAATCAATCTTCGTACTATTTCAAAGTTGGTATCACCATAACTGCATCAGAACAAATAGGAAAGTGAAGAATTAAAGCTTAATGAGTGCTTACTGAATACCTCATATGTGGGAAACCCCATTCAAGGTAGATTGTTAAAATAGCTCTCCTCTCTTCCTCTTCCCTATTTCCACCTCCCATCCCATGTAAGATGTTAGTGCAGCTGCAACCTGGACTTTTGAAAAGCTCAGAATTTAATCAGGCGGTCAAGAGAATGACTGAATGAAGTTAGCTGCAATATGTGGTGGAGGTCACAGACTTAAAATCAGACCAAGGAATTGCATAAATGGATGCAGGGTCTTAAAAAATGACCATGTGTCTTTGGAGCCATAAAGGAAAATATTAATATAGCTTAAGAGAACAGAAAAAAGCTAAAACATTTTATAAACAAATGCAAACCCTACGGGTATAACTTGAACCCCAGAAAAACCAACACCTCTCAGGCCTAAGGACTTTGTATCCTCTTTCCTCAAAATGTTAACAAAAGGTGATGAGTGCATCCCTCAGTGGTACCAGGAGGACTGTCCTGGCCATACACAGCTCAAGTGTCCTATCCCAGGCAAAAGTTTTTGGCCAAGAAGCAAATGATAACAGCAGATCACTGGACACAGAAACCTCCATTTAGAGTGGTAAAATTATTTTCTTAATGAGTGACATAACTCTGGTCAGGTTTAAAAATAAGTATAGAGATGATTACATTACACAATATTAATCTTTTTGGTTAAATTTGCAATGTGTATAAAAGGAATGCTATTTAAAATGCTTTAAAGTTTAAAAGAATTCAAATTAGTTGTGTTTTCAATTTTATATAAATGTAGTTATATAATCAGTTTTAGAATCAGTATTATTAAAGTTACAAGTATGAAAATTTGACCAAATATATAAACAAAATTTAAGAGAACTTGAGTTTTTTATTTATAAATTTTACTTATTAGATTTTAAAAAATTGTTTCAAAATATATGAAGGGTTTTTTTCTCCCTAAGATAAAGTCTTTAAAACTTAAAAACTTGAGGAAGTTAAATATATTTGTATGATTTAAAATTTGAGAAATTAATCAACAGTGTTATATATAGGGCAATTTATAAAGTTTCAGCTTGAGTTAACTGACTTAATTTTTAAAAAGTGAAGATGATTGCTTTTTATATCAGATTTAGAAATAGAGTAATAAGGTATAAATTGAACCAAAGGTTTAGTGAAAAATAAGCTTTTAGAGCCATTAATATAATAAGATATTTTTCATTTTTAAAAGGCAATTTTAAATAATATTTTTCTGTTCACAAATCCACTATGGAGGCTTAAAAACTATATAGAATATAAATAAATAAAATCCAGGTGCCCCACAAAGGAGTTCATTTCTAAACTGTATATATTATATGACAGCGAGAGTAAAAAGCAAAGAAGGCAGAATGTTAACAATTGGTGAATCAGGTAAATGAAATACAGGTGCTAATTTTACTACTCTTTCAAGTTTTCTTTGTACTTGAAAATACAAATAACAAGTAAAAAGAAAAAGAGAGAGACATTTGTTGAGCGTCTCATATATTCAATTTATGCCAAGTGAGAGGTGTGATGATAAGGAAAATAATGAAAAAGAAAAACAAAACTGTATACTTGGACTCAAGACATGTAATTTGGTACAGAAAAGTTATATCAGAACTCTTACTTAAGTATATCATGTTCTTTGGCAATAGAAGGAAAAAGAGCAACATAATTTATGTTAAAATCAATTTCTGCTGTCTTCACCAGAAATTTTATATCTATATTTGAAGAAAGGGAATATTGCAACAAAATGCACTCAGTGTTTAGGAATGCAAACCATTACTTGGAGTTCAGTCTGCACTACTCAAACATGACCAAAAGAGAGTAATTCTGAATTAGTTAATAGGACTTGGGAGTCATCAACTTTATGGCATAAACAACCAAGTTGACCCTTAAAAGAACTAATTGACTATTAAAACAGCAGAGTGAGGGTGTTTCTGAAATATTTTTGTTTTTAATTATTATAGTAGAATAATATTTCCTATATTAAATATAAACGCCATCTTGTAAAATTATTCTAAGCATTATTTTTTTTAATATGGGCTGAGCTGAACGTTTAATGCATAATTGGTAAAAAAGACTAGACTTTTAAAAATTCATGAGTTTTTATTTAAGATTTTTAATATTTGATTTAATTTAATTTCTTAAAATATTTTAGACCTTTGATATTTAAAAACATTATTATTATTATGGAAAAATAATCTTTATATTAGTACACATCGATTTTACTGCATTTATCCAAATTTGGCACATTGTTCCAAAATTCCACTTGTTTTAATCAAGGCTGTAAAATTAATAAACAAGTATCCCTTGGAGCCACTAGATGGCAACCCTATGATACCAAATAATACCACATCCAGGGCAGGTTATCTGCACAAAAGATGGTACATTTTCAATCTAAGCCAATTTCCCTTTCTGTACTCAGACAAAAAAAAAAAAAAAATCGTTTGTGAACAATTCAATGAACACAATATGAACTCCATGACAAACTTCAAAGAAGCTAGACAGGTGTTAAAAACTATAAGCTGTGTACACAGAATTAAATGTGTTTCCATTGGAAACATTAGCTTTACTTCAGAAGAGAAAGATTTTCCTCTCAAATCTTCTTGTCAGTGTAAAGAAAAAAAAATAACTCATAGTAAAATATAATAGCAATGTTTGGAAAAATAATTTCTTAAAAATAGAAAAAAGATAACAAATTAATAAAAAACATAATTAGAATAAAGCTATAGGTAGAAATATAACTTTAAAGTAATTAAGCAAAAATACTCAGCATTGTTATGATATTTAATATTATTTATAGTAAATACATAGTCTATAATTGAAAATTTTACTTTAAAGTTATAACTATTTGGGGCCGGCCCCGTGGCTCATTCGGGAGAGCATGGCCCTCATAGCGCCGAGGCCGCGGGTTTGGATCCTATATAGGGATGGCCGGTGTGTAGTACACTCACTGGCTGAGCGTGGTGCAGACCACACCATGCCGAAGTTATAACTATTTGGTATCA